CCAGCTTCGAAATAAAATATTTGGCTTTAAAACTAGATTTTGGCGCCAAAAAATAACAACGGCTTCGAAACTGAGAAGCCGGCTTCGAAGCACATTCCATGCTTAAGGATGTATGAATGCTCAAGTATTTGTTTGCTTCAAAGGGATTAAAGACCTGTTTTATGTTTCTTAATGAGAGTAATGTCTTTCGAAGTAAAACTTTATGCCCCTTAAGGATGGGAATTGGTGTTCGAAACATCAAAACCAATAGTTGGTTTATATATACAGAAAAGATTGTCTTTTCGGACGAAAACAGTGCAGCCCTCAAAAGGAGCTTCCATATTTTTGAAAGTATGGACTGTTGTTCGAAGCAAAAAATGGTCAATTTAAAACTGATTGATCGTACTAACCATGACCATATTTTGGTTATGATTAAAACAAGCTTTAAGGGGTAAGACTGTTGAATTCGAAGCACTGATTTTAAATGAAAATAAGCAAAAATTGTCAGCTTTATTCCATGAATTGAAAAAGTTCTTGTTGGTTTTTTAGTGTTTCGTTTAAAACGATTGAGTTCAGATTCGAAGGATAAGATTATTCAACTCGAAGCCCTAAATTTGTTTTTAAAAACAAACGGAGACAAGATCAAATAATGCCAAACAAAGAGAAAAGTCTTAGTTATATTAAAGCAAAAGCAATTACATCGAATGGTCCTCTTTGGGTACAAATACAAGTTCATAAAAGTAAGGAATAGAATAAATAACAAGATCATGAAATTTGGTCCAACTATGATCAATGAATTTTTGTTCTTTCTTTATTCTATCCTCTATTTCTTCTAGGATTGGTTGCATAAGTTGTTGTGCTCTCACTTCATAAAAGAGCTCTTCAGCCTTTATTTTGAATGCTGTTTCTCTCAATCCTTGTTCCAACTCGTCCATATCCAAGTCATCCCAGTACGCAGAGTCTTTATTCTTGAAGTTATCGAATTCTTCAATGAAGTTCTCTGCTTTGTACTGGGCATGAACTCGAAGGGATGAGAGTTGGTCCAAAGATTGAGTGGTGACCACAGAGGTCCGATGCCAGTGAAGAAGCAATGGGAGTTGGTCCAAAAACATGTGAAGCTCTGCTTGGGCGAGGGGGTTGAGGACGTAACCCCGAGTCAGAATGTCACAAGCCCATCAAAGGTTCTTAAGAGGAACATCGTCCTCAAGAACATTGAAAGGCAAGTGAGAGAAGGCCGCAAGCAAAAGTTGGGCTTGCTTCCGCTCAGCTGGAGTAGGGGAAGGTGGAGGCTTGTAAGGAGGAAAGACCTTATCCGCAGAGAGGGCAAGCCTCAGTCTCTCTGTCCAGCAAGGATTTGGTGGAGGAGGAGGTATGAAAGCTTCCATTTCGGGAGAAGGAGCAAGGGCAGAAGGAACAAAGACATTAATATAATTGAGCCAGTCAGAAGAGCAAAGCTTTGCCTTCTGGGCTAAGAACGATGGGTTGTACCCTTGTGCCTCTTCTGGGTGTCGGGCAACGTGCACTATCTTTGTAGGCATGGAGGATGTGTACCATGCTACAAGCAGATTGTCCTCCAAACTGCGTCATCGGTCGATGGGCACGTAAGGATAAACCACCGAGCTTCGCGCATAGGAAGGAAACTCTAAAGGATCAGTGAACTCGACGAAGTGATGGTTAATTCGCTCCCTCAAATCACAGGCCTCAGGTTCCGACCAGCTTGCCCAGTCAGAAGCCCCAGAGGAAGAAGAAGCCATAGTCTTATCCCATGCAGAGGATTGTGAAGAAGAACTTTACATGTCTATATTTGCAACTTTCTGAATCAAAGGATTGAGGGCAGTTTGTTCGTAGTCCAAGGGTGAATCAGAAGAAGAACTTCTCATGTCCATATTTGTAACTTTCTGAATCAAAGGATTAAGGGCAATGTGTTCGTAGTCCAAGGGTTGATAAGTTGCAAAGGCTTCTATGACTTGAATATAGAAAGGTGGGTAAAGGTGGGTAAAGGTGGCTAATTAATGCATGGAGGTTCTTTCGAGGAGGAACAACATCATCATCAGATGACTCTTCGTGTGCTCAATCAATAGAAGAGAAAATTGATTCGGCCATAAGAAATGCATCAGTCTGTTCGAATACTAAGGTGGTGGGGGTGTTCAAAAGATTGAATGAGAGTTTAATGCAGATGATGAATGACAGTTGCATTTCTGGAAGAATGCAAAGCCCATGCACGTTCTAAGACGTGGATAAAAGACCTTGATCCACTAATATCACCAAATATTGGGTATATTAGTGCGGGGGGTAATGTTGGCTACATATTTTGTATAAGCCAATTACAATTCGACACGTGGCGGAATAAGGGTAATACGGGAAGAATATTCAAGTCTTCAATCATGATCGTACACGTAGCAGTTAGTATTGGTTAATACAAGATCTGAGTAGCATTGGATCAGCAAAGAGATGCAAAGTGATGTGGCTTCAACGGTTACTCACATTCAAATTCAAATTTAGAAAGGAAGCCTAACTGCAAGTGATGGCATAGTGTAGCTAATTATAAGGCAACATGATCAGCGATCATGGAGGAGCAGTTCGACGGTTGGAAATGCAGATTCGATGGTCATCCTTGAGAAGCATAAATAGCAGAGAAGGCTCCAGAAAAAAGCCCCAGACTCAGATAAAAAAAACCAGTCTTATTCTACTTTATTTCATTTATAGTTTTACATTTCCAGTTCTTTACATTTCTGCACTTTAAAATTCCTGCACTGCACTTCGTTCATAGGAGTAGTTTCAAGTAGATTGCTGCTGTAAACCTCTACGAGGCTGAGTTTGGATCATTGTAAGTTTTTCATTTTAATGAAATGTTTCAATTGTTCTTCATTTAATTGTTATTTTGCTTAATTCTCTTAAATCAAGCCACCAGTAAAAGTCCTCTTCATTGAGGCTGAAAGAACTAAAACACAATCGTCTGATAATTGATTGGCAATTAATTTTCTATAAGGACTGATTGATCCTTACTGGCATGCTCACAATTATAAAAATAACCTTCGAAAGCCAAAAAGCCAACATGGTCATTTGCTATTTTGGTAAATCTCAACCAACTTTCCCTCAAAGTTTGTAGGTGTTGTTTGGATATAGTTTTTTTGTGATTTTATTTTTGTTTATTTTTTGTCTTTTGTGACATTTTTTTACCTGTTTGTAAAAAAAATTATATATTTATATTATTTCCAAATAGACAAATATAAAAAATAAAAAATAATGAAAAATTGGAAAAAAATAATATAATTCACCCCACCAAAAAACATATCACTACATATTTAATAAATTTTTTTAACTACACATAAAAAAAATAGACACTTGTGTTCTGAACTGATCATTTTGAAGCAATCAATAATTTTCGTAAATTCTCCCCCAAAAGTGAGCATACGATTGCAAATTGCCAACAATTGGGTCTTCCAAAATGTGACACCAAAATTTACAAATTGTCATATCTTTTTCAATGGTGAATGATTTTTCTCTCTTTGTTTTTGATGAACCTTCCATAGTGATTGGATAAAAAAACTAGAGAGAAAATAATTTAAGAGGTTTGCTGTGAAATCAAATTCAGAGAAGAGAGGAGAAAAGAAAAATTAAATCTAAATGTTTGTGTGAAATAAAAGTGACTGTGAGGGTTTCAATTTATAGAAATTTAAAATATTACTGTTTTGGAAAATAGCCGTTTGAAGATAGCTGTTGTAAAAATAATAATAATTAAAAAAAAATAGAGCACAACGGCTCTTTTTATACACTGAGAGGCATCCACCGTCCACGTATAAACATCAATGGTTGATCTGTCAAGTGTCTAGAATGATCCATCGAGATCCACCATCTTCATCTCCCTCTCACTTTGTCTTTCTCTCCTCAAACCACTCTCCCTTCTCCTCCATGATCAAAACCCCTCTCTTACTCTGTCTCCTTCTCAGTCTTTCACTCTGTCTTCTCCCTCTCTGTTTTCACTCTTCCTCTCTCTCTCTCTGTCTTCACTTCCCCTTCTCAAACTAGTCCCTTCTCCTCCTCCATGATCGAAATGTCTCTCTCTCTCTCTACCTATGAAGCTCCGATCTGTCTCTCTCTCAGTCTTCACCTCTGATCTGTCTACTCTATGTCTCTGGTACGATCTCCATTTATATACATACTCATATATATATATATATATGTTTTGATATCTGTCTCCTTCTCAGTCTTCACGTGTTGATTTTTTCTTTATTTTTCTGGTTGTTGATGTGGATCTAAGGTGATTGTGATTTTTGAAGCTCAAATCTGGCAATGGATTCAAACCGGATCTTCAAAGAACTCAAGCATTTCCAGAAGCTTCTTCAAAGAACACAATCTGGTATGTTTTTTTTTCAAATTTTCTTAATTATTTATTTTGATTTTTGGTTTAATTTTTTTTCATCCATCAATTTTTGTTCATCCGATCATTTTATTGTGATACTGGATTATCTGATTTGGTTTGGTTTATTGTGAATGCATACCATCTGATTTGGATTGACTAATTTGGTAAAAAATTATTTTAAAAAAATTATAAATTTTAGAGAAACTGAATTTGGGTTTGTCAATTTCATTATGAAATTTGTTTGATTCTGAAAATTGAGTTTGATTTTAAAAATTAGATTCCCTACTGTTTCAATTCTGTTTTTTTAACTGAGTTTGGTGCCAAATTTCTATTGATATTTGTTGATCTGACAAACTTGGAAGCTGCTATTTAACTTGATAAATTTGAGAATAGATATGGCATCTGTTATCTTTGACAAGTAAAATAGCAAGCCATTTGAGACCCCTTTTTACCATTTCTGTTAAATTTTAGTTTTGACAGTTTGAATAGGAGCTCCAATGCACTTTGGTGTAACATTTACTACTGGATTTTGCCTTCAATGCCACCTGTCAGATATTCCTTGATTTTTAAAAGGAATTTAATATTTTAAAATAATAAAAAATAAAAAAGAAATTAATATTTTGATACGGAAGGAGCACGTAAATTAGACGCGTTTTAGCGTGTCGCATTGCCGATGAAGAAGACGAGCAACAAATAGTTGAAGGCTTGAAGCCCCTCATAAAAAATAATAATAATAATAAATTAAAAACAAAAAAAAACAAAAAAAAGGCTCTTGTTCATCATCCCACAATTCGATTCTCTTCGGCTTCTGCTTGCAGATCTTGGCATCAACTATGGTAATCTCATCTTTCTTTCTGTCTCTCTCTCTTCGATCATGCTTTTCTCCACCTTCCTCGCAAACTTTCATTCCAGTTTTGTGAAATTTACCCTTGGTTTCATATCAATTTCGTAGTAATCATCGTTGATGCCTTCTGAATTTTCGTTTGTAAAGTAGATCTGGTTCTCAATGGTTGCGTTTAGAGCTAGATTTATTAGATTCATGTCCACTCTTGTTTTCCGTCGGAGTATGTTTTCGTTTACATGTTTAATTGAATTCATGAAATCATAATAAGACGCAATGAATGCATCTGGTGATGAAAATGCATGTGCTGTAAGATTTTTAGGCTATGTTTTGGGTCTTGGATTTGTGTAGGGTAAAGAAAATGGAAGGGATAGTGAATGGAATTTTTTTTTTCTTTTTTTTTTCCATTGAATTAAAACATATTAGGATATTGCGCAAATTACACTGGCATTGCCACACTTTGCCATTTGTGTTATTTTAGTCCATAATTGGCTCAATTTTTACCGTTAATCTAGATTTCGCTTCAATTTTGTCCAATTGATAATGCCGAAAATGTTCAATAAATTGGTTGAGATTAAGGCCTCATTTGAGAACAGGCTATTTTAGTAACTTTTTAATTTTTTACGAAAAGATGTGTAAAAAAGTAAAGAGAGTGAGGTAACAATTTATAGTGACTTTTTGGCTAAAATAAGCCAATGAATTGATCAAGTTTGTAATTTTGCCCTTAAAATTGTGCATTTGCCATAAAAAAAAAATGCTAATAGTGGGAATCAATTGGACTAATTTGAAATAAAGTAAAAAACTTAGGTCAAAATTGAGCCAAATGAAATTACTGGGACCAAATGGCACTAGGGCCAAAGTACAGGGACTACTAGTGTTGTAATTTTCCCTATGATATTGAAACCATGATCTAAAGTTCTTCAAAACACTAATGAAATAAGTGAATCTGTTGTACAAGTTAACAAATTCTGTAGATTATGACAATGGGATGTTGTGGTTATTTCTAAAATGTTGTGTTTCACCAAATTAATAACGTTATCCCTGCGTATCTTTGGAAAAATTATTTAGTCTACTGTAATTCTTGGTTTTCGCTTCCTTCAATTTGAAAATTGCAGTATTTCAGTCAATCAGCTGTTTTGTCTGAAACCATATGCATTGTTTTCCTGTCTCATTGAATTACTTGGTTTTCCTCATTTTTGGCTGAAGAACAAGAAGAATATTCATGTCCTGATGCTGTATATGTGAAGATGACACATGACTGATGCTCGTTATTGCTAAGTATTCATGATGATCCATTCCTCCAACTTGTTTATTGGATCAGCACAGAAAAGTTTACTTTAGAGCTTAGTTCTTGTATGGTCATATGAGGAAATTTGCGAGGATGCTTGTGGACACTTGATCCAATATGTGAAGAAGGATTTAGTATTAGATTAGATTAGATTATTCTAATACCCTGACTAGCTGTAGTTCATACTTCTGAATATCCCTCTTTTTTCACTGCCTCTTAATAATTTGATTGTCTGGTGCTTGCATATCTCACCACCCCGAGCAAGACATGTTTGTTATGGTGCCATTGGTTGAATTATGGTACTGTTATTTAAAATGACAATGTATCCAAAATTGATTCTGCATTGTGTAGCTTCAAAAGCAACTCTTCGTATTGGATCTGAATATCATTTTTCATGGCATTAAACTACTGAAATGTATTCATAACCGACCCCCACCCCCACCCTAACTCCACACATTCAAACAAGTGGCTAAAAGGTGATGGAGTTTATGTAGGGCTTTTGAGTATTGAAAAAGTTGATGGCATTGTGGCAGTAGATTTGTGTAATTTTAGTGATAATGAGGGCAAGTTGAATTTTTTTTTGACCAGCGAAAGTTAGCTTGTTTAGTATATGTTAGATTGGCAACTGGGAGGGGGGAGTTGAACCATCGACCACAGACTGGCAAGCACTTAAGTGTGCTGCCCTATGACCATTGGACCAAGTGGTTATGCTTTATACTGTGTATGTCCAATTAACTCACTTTTATTACTGTACAAAGCAGAAGTAAATGTTCTTCATATTTTTGTCTAGTTTGGCAACCAAGTCCTTTCGGGAAAATGAAAAACACATTATCTGTATACACTATTCTCTAGGTACATTAATTGAGTGGTGAGGTTTGTGACTCTGTGTTTTATTCAAAAACCATAGGTAATAAACATTATTTTCGAAGGTAGTGGCTTCTCTCCAGTCCGAAATCGGACTAGAGCATGCTGTTGGACCTCTGTGGGCCCACCATGGAGCGTGCATTGATGATTCGAACCATTCAATGTGTAAAGCTCGTGGAGTACTTCACCTCTGTAAAAAAAAATTATGTTGATTGGACATCGATAGTCACTTGATCAGATCAAATTTGTATTAACGGTAATTATAATTTTAAAAATAAATTATTCACATAAATGTGATCTGATTAAGTGGCTATTGATATCTGATCAATGTGATTTTTTATAGGGATGAAGTACTTGACGTGCCCTACATATTGAACGGTTTGGATTGTCAAGACGGACCTAAAAATGGGTCTAATTGGACCGTCCAGTTAGCTAGCCCAACTAGAGATAGTCCAAGCCCATTTCGTAATTCCTTTGGAGTGCTTCGAAAGTTTGTAGTTATGTTAGCTATGAAGCATTAACACTTCAAAACAAGTGCCGTATCCGTGTCTGATACACGGACACGGTAGAGACACGTATGGGACACGCCACATAGTGTGTCCCCTTATTTAATTAATTTATATTCAGTGGACACGCCGATTGGGGACACACTAGGGACATGTCAAATTATTTTTTTCCCTAATTTTCTTTAGTGCTTTTGATGAATGTTGAATCTTTATTATTTTTTTCTTAGACTTAAATGCTTAATAGATCATCCATAAAAAGAGATACAAACTATAAATGTTAATTTAAAAGTATTTTTTTTTTATTTAAAAAATACGTGTAGAATTAGAGTTATTTTTGTTAATATTGATTGTTTGTAGATGTAATATTAATTTAGATAGCAAATAAAAATTTATGAAAACATATTTTATTGCTGTGTTCTCACCTTGTCCTCGCCGTGTCCATGTCTCTATTTTTTTGAAATCGTCAGTACTTGTTAGTATGTCAGTTATTGCCTCGTTTCTCTCTCTAACAAGTTTGTTTTTTGTCACTTGTTACATCTCTAGACAACCTCAAGGCGACTTGCAGATAGGAAGGTGGAGAGGTTTGAGAAGAATATCAAGAAGAGAGGTGCAGTGCCTGAAACAACAACAAAAAAGGGAACTTCTTATCCAGTGGGGCCTATTGTACTTGGATTCTTCATATTTGTTGTCATTGGATCTTGTGAGTTCATTTATTAGTTAAGCTATAATATTGTTTCTATGTTGAAACTTTTTTTTTTTCCTTTTCTTCAAGGATAAGTAAGATTCAATTTTATCTCCATATTATTTATGAAACCTACAAAACTATCAATGGGTCCACCTCTCTGACAGTCAAACCAAACTCAGCTTTATGCCCCAATTAAGTGGGTTTGGTTACATGAATAAACGATTGCACCTTGAACCTTGAAGATGCTCCTCAAAATTGGAAATTTGTTGAAATGAAATAGATTAGCCTTTTGTCTTTTCATTTAAATTATCGAAGCTTCAATTTGATACCTATTATACATATAGAAAGTAGCTTTTGTTTCTCTAACCATTATTGTAGAGAGTTCCATTCACTCTTGAAGAAAGCTTCTGACCATAGATAGGATAGGAGACATGCGCTGCTTTTTGCCCTTCCTGGAATTGAAATGCACACACACATGACCATACCCCTAAGCTTGCTCTACCGTATGATTTAGCCTCAGGATGTAGGTGGCCCTCAAGAAAATATACATATATATTGTAGTTGTCAAATTGAGAATCGTATCGTGAATCGAAATCCTAATTTTGTAAATCGAATCAAACCAAGAATCATTCGGATTTAGTAAAATTATAACAAAAGATATTAAACAATTGTATATATCATATGATTTTTTTTTTTTTGAATAAATTGATTGTGATACATGTTACATCGTAGTTCTTATACAAAGATATGATTACACTGTCTAATTGGGAATACAGTGCCTTAATAGCAAGAAATGTGGGTTTAAATCTCACCGACCATGAATTTTTTTAATAATCATAATATAATCTCTGTTGGCATTCAAAAAATGGACTTAGGAACCCTATATAGAGTATAATAATATTTATAAAAAAAGGAATAAGTGAAAACCCTTTAGTTTAATACTTAAAACACTTAAAGGTGTCGGTTATTGTTCAAAAAGAAATACTAGAGGAACTATTAGGTCTAACTGATTTGACTCATGTAATATTGAACCAAATTTATTTCATTAAAATTGTATGGGTGCAAGTTACATTAACCTTAAACATTCTTAGAATTTATATTGATTAAAAAAGAAATACTAGAGGAACTATTAGGTCTAATTGACTTGACTTATGTAATATTGAACCAAATTTATTTCATTAAAATTGTATGGGTGCAAGAAACATTAACCTTAAACATTCTTAGAAGATATATTGATTTTTTCTGAGGAAAAAATGTTAAGAGCATAGTTGGTTTGACTGTACTTGATTGGGTCCCTGTTAAAAACCCTCTGATCAACAAAATAACCACAAACGGCGCATACATATTGGTTACTTTTGGTACTTTACACTCTTTTGAGAAAGTATTTCCTCTCAATATGTGAAAGAATTGTTCTGGTGTATGATAGGCTTTTGCTACTTGTCTTTTCTCTCGTCTCTCTCTCTCTCTTGCCTTGTTGGCGGACATTCTACATTCAAGTTTGTATGCTTATGCCTCTTAATGATCTGTAGAGAACAATTCAGCCTAGAATTTCAATGTCACAGGACTAAAAGGGATTCTTGGATAATGAAATTCGGTGGCGCACAGGCTTTTTATTTGTCACTTTTCAGTTCTTCTACTTGCACATAACCAGACATAACCCTGTGTGGGACCCAGATGAGATGAGTGGGTTGTGTCCGATTTTGTGTTTGGTTTCTATGTTCTAGACTTTTTCTTGTCACTTCACTTGTAGGTTGTTGTTGGTCTCCTCTCACAGATGCTGCTATTAGCAGTTGTTACTGCTATATTTTATCTAAATGAAACCAAACATGGAACTTTGTTGTTCAACTACAGTTGGGGTTTGTCTTGTTTATATAGCAAAAGCATATTTTGGTTTTATTGATTGCAATTTCTCCCCTTTTTCTTCCTTTTGTGCCAGCTTTGTTTCAGATAATCCGGACAGCCACAAGTGGAGGCATGGCTTGAATGATGAGTTCACTCTTCTGATTGTTGAATATGGAAGCTGTAGGGACGTGATACTTTTGCTGTATGTTGTTTCGGCTAGGATTAAGTTGTACTATTACGCCATGGAGTTTACTTGGCCCCTTAAAAGTAGTAGTAAAATGATCATGTAATACTGGGCATGCATGTTTTTTATTTTTATTTGATTTAAGGAACTTAAAATAAGTAATAAATATGACTTTACTCCCATACAATTCCTCTTAGAAATAATTCTTTTTTTTTGTTCTCCCACTTGGTACCTATGTCCTTCTGCACCTGCTTGTAAGAACATGTGGAGTTTGCTGGACCTCCAGAACAATTGTGCTTTTAATAAATTCTCTGTTCTTCTGTTAAAAGTATTAGTGAAGAACAGAGAATTTAACAGAAGAAAATTTAAGGAAAAGAAATATTTGTATTGAATTATCAGAGTTTAAAAGCCGTGACTATACAAAGTACAATCGTTGGGCTAGGAACCCTTCACTTATTGCTTACCCTTGTGCTATATGTTTGTTGTGTAGGTTCTTGAGTTCTTTCAGTCGCTCTTCTTTCTTGCGAAGATTTCTTTGACTTCTGATTTCTCTCTCTATTCGATCTCTAATCTCTAGTTTCTCTTCTTCTGATCCCTCTTGGATTTCTTCCCCTTTTTCCTGTATGATGGCCCTCATATTTACAAGGGTCATTTACGTGGTTAGAGTGCTTTTTCTTTATTTTGAATTTGAAATTCATGTGATAAGAGTGCATATTTCAAATTTCAAACTGTTATGATAATGTTGTCATGTTATCATAACGAACGTGGTTGATCATGTTGATCTCCCAAATTTTATTCCTGGTTGTTCCCATGTTGTAAATTTCACAGGTGTCATCTTTTGATCGAGTGTTTCAAGTCTTGTAGGCTCAACTTATCACTTGAATATCTTGAATAACATCGTTGAAATACGACTACGACGTCATTGGACTATATTATGCAATTCAATGGATCATATTGATCATTTTAGGAGGTGATTCTCTACAACATTTTTACCGTATGTTCCATATGTATCATTGATTGATTGACCGTGTCATTCTCCACGGATCAATTGGCTCACAAGAGTTCAAAGATTGTGTTTGGGTGGTCTCATCATCCCATTGAATTTGGAATTGTATCATAAATTTGGTTGAAATTTATGTGCCAAGAAATGCTTTTTCGTGACTTGTGCAAGTGAATTTTAATTGTGAGGATCACGATAATTTGGCACCGTTTGTCTTGACCATTATTTAAACCATGGTATTGCTCTGTTTGTTGGGCAGAAAACAAAAAACAACACTCAATTAGTACACATTAATGTGTGTTCGGGAGGAGAAAGATTAGGTACACACATAACCTTGGACGGAAAACATTTTCTGGAAAATATTTTTTGTATTTTTTGGTGTTTGTTACAATGGAAATAGAAGTCAATAGAAAATATTTTTCATGGTTAATGAAAAACAAGCCTGTTTGGACAGAAAATGTTTTTTACTTTTAAAAGGCTGAAAATATTTTTCAAACTAAACTTTTACCTATGTCACCATACCACCACCATTACTCTCCCCTCCGCCACCATCACCACTGCCATCGCCCTACCACCATGCCATCACCTCCACCGCCACCTTCACTTTCGTTCTACCACCACCACCACTAAACATAGAAAAATGTTAATCTCTGGAAAACGTAACATTTTCTAGAAAAAAAAATTCGTAGAAAATGTTTTCCATCATAAATTATTTTTCACCTAAACAAATAGATAGTTTGTGTATGGAATTATTATTATTATTATTATAATTTTTGGTTTGGTTTCTTCGACGGTTTTTTATGTGAGCCCTTTATACTTGAGTTTTTTCCTTTTGTTTTTTTTTTGCTGATCTCTTCTTTATATGGGCTGTGGGCTGGTTGTGCTTTATTTATTTATATTTATCTATTTATTTTTGGATTGCATGGGCACTTTTTCTATGGACTAGGCCATTTTTTTCTTTTTTCTTTTTTTAATTTTAAATCCTATCATGGCTCTACAAAAACAGCTGCCGTATGAGCACTTTAATTAGCCAAAAAACATATATTATATATTTTATATGTAAGGAGACTCAATCTGATTATACTTATTAGTGTTTGATCAGGACATCCTTTGAGTGGTAGTGTTCCTGAGGAACTCATTTGCTTGATTGAGTATAAGGATCACAACCCACTCCTTTGTAGTCCACATATTTGTTTCTTTACACCATGTTTGTTTGGGCAGACTGGAGACTGGATTAGCATTCTCATGACTAATAGTACTAGGACTACGAATCCGTTGGATTATGTATAAACATATATTATATATTTTATATGTAAGGAGACTCAATCTGATTATACTTATTAGTGTTTGATCAGGACATCCTTTGAGTGGTAGTGTTCCTGAGGAACTCATTTGCTTGATTGAGTATAAGGATCACAACCCACTCCTTTGTAGTCCACGTATTTGTTTCTTTACACCATGTTTGTTTGGGCGGACTGGATTAGCATTCCCATGACTAATAGTTCTAGGACTACGAATCCGTTGGATTATGTATCCTATCTTAACTAATAGTCTTAACTAATAGTCAAGTTTAAAATAATTAGTTCGTACTTCAATTGTTTAACCAAATATCGGATTAATAATTTTATTGGACTATTAGTCCAATCCCAAGCTCATGTCCACCCAAACAAACATGGAATTAGGGTACAAAACATATGTATCTTCTGCTACTGCTGTATTGCTGCTGCTGCTGTTGCTGTTGCTGTTGTTGCTGAACTACTGCTGCATTGCTGCTGCTGCTGCTGCTGCTGTTGTTGCTGAACTACTGCTGCTGTCATCCTTTGCAATTGCAGGTACACACTGTTATGGATCCCTCTTTTTTTTCTTCTCTCCCTCTCTTTTTTCTAATGGTTTCAAACAATTAAAATATGTATATATATAATATTTTACAGCAGTTCTTTGTGTTTTTTGTTGCTAAATCGTGAACGCAAATAGTTCAAACAAAATCCTTGATTGTAAAGATAAACAAAGACAGTTTTTGCCTTTCCTTTTGTCACAGTAAAACAACAAAACCTGTTTGCTGTTTTTTATTTTTATTTTACAGTCATGCAATCAGATTTTTTTTTTTTTCACAGCAGAAACCTGTTTGTTTGTTTGTTTTTTTTTTCCAATCATTCAAGCAGATCTTTACTGGACCATGAATCTGATTCTGAATAGGCCAAACAAAGTCCTTTTCCCTTTTTCCTTTTTTTTTCTTCCTTCACAACAGAAACTTGTTTGTTGCTAGTTTTTTTTTTTTCTTTTTTTTTTTAAAAGTATAGGCCAAACAAAGTCCTGGTTTATAAATATGAACAAAGACCTTTTTTTTCTTTTAGTCCTTTTATCCCTTCATAGTAAATCCCTACTTTGCTTGCTTTTTTTGTTTTTCTTTTTTTTTTTTTTGCAATAGCATGTATACAGCAAAATTTTGGCTGGATCATAGGCCAAACAAGTCCTTTCTTGTGAAGATGAACAAAAATGCTCACTTTTTTTTAAGGAAAAAAAAATGTATATTATGCAAGAGATTTCTTTTTTTTCTTTTTTTCTTTTTTTGGTTATTCTTTTGCTAGAACAAACCAAAAAAACAAGTTGCCGTTTTTTTTTTTTAATAAAAAAAATTCCAGAAGGTTGTAGACTCTCTCCAAACTTTTTGAAGTTCTAATCGAGACCTACCTTTTGTTATTCGTGCAAGTGAATCTTAACTGTACAAATCACGATAACTCGACACTTTTTTTTTTCTTTTTGGCAAACGGAAAGACAATTCTTTTCATTATTTCATGTATTTTCATCTCTTTTGTAGGCACTATTCTTTATTCGCGCACGCCTTCAGAGTTATTTCAGTTATCTCTTCCATTCTTTTCTTTTTGTCGTTTTTTTTTTTTTTTTTTTTTTGGCTACCATTTTTTTTGGCTACCATATACATATGCTTATACATATGCATCTTAGCAGACAGATTGGTTTGGAACATTTAAAATTTCAGACGCAAATTTCAAAAATGTATCACCACCCCTTCACCCCAATAGCTTTAATCCTCTTACCAGAGCTTTTGTTGGTTGCTGGTTGTGGCCTTCAGAAGGCTTCTAGATATTGGAATATGTACTTCATTTTAAAACACCTTAAATTTGGACGATCGGACCATTCAATATTTTGGATATAAGAGCATATTAATGAACATTCATCACAGCTGGCTTTAGTCTCTTCAAAGAGACTTTTGTCATTTAAGAATAATGTCATATGCACCAATTAGCCTACTAACTAGTATACCAATTAATAATGTGACATAATTTAAGAAGTGTTTGGTATTTATAATGTGATTAATGAATACTAGTTAGTACAGTAATTGGTATATATAACACCACCGGTCACTTAATGGCTTTAGTCTTCAAAAGAGGCCTCGGTTTTAGCCTTCAAAAGAGGCTTTTGTCACCCATTAAAGTCTTTAGCCTTCAAAAGAGAATTTTGTCACCACTTAATGGCTTTTGCCTTTCTTATCTTACTTTATTTTTTTTTTTTCCGCCATGTCTAACATTTTTTTTTTCCGCAGGCATTCTCATGGAAAAGATACTTGAATACCATCGACGTGACGAAAAGGATGTATTGGACAAGTATGGTCCCAAAATTATTAGGCACAAGTCTATCACTGCCTTGTTGACTTTTGTCAAGTTGGACCCTTACATTCCTCTACATGCACCTTCCAAAGACTAGTTCTACACAGGAATCCAACAGTGTAGCGAGATTTTTGAGAAGGGGCACCTTAAGGCAATCAGTTCATTCCCTATCTCAATCCTCCATCCATTTTCTAAAACCATTAATCACTCTGAATTTAACATTCTTCTTAGGAGGATGAAGAATGAGAATTTAAGATGGGATAGTTCTTTTAATATTCGTGGTGTCCTTGCTCATCTTCAATCCTTTATATGGATCTTTTGGTTGAATGACATCCTTTTCTACGTTTCCCTCCATCCTGAAGAAGTCTGAGATTTATTCTGCGGTCTATACATCTCAATGTTTTTATGCTAGGAATGTACCCTTACTCAAAGGGTTTTTAGAGCAGTGGTTGACAACTGCCAACACCTTTCACACAATTTACAATGAACTGGGGATCTCCTTATGGGACTTTCATCGCATTCGCGGTCTTACTATCCTTGGTAAGTTTTATGAAGAGTTCA